AAAGATTGAATTGAATGATTAAGTATTAGTATTTTAAAAAAATAGTTATGCTTGTTGATTTGTTCTAGTGAAGTTCAGTAACATAGGAGTTCAAGAAACTCTTGGGCATAGGGGAAATGACAAGTAATGTTACTGGTTGGCTTTAGTATCACGTGGAAGAGATTTTTTCATAATTTGGCAAGTACCATTGTGGTAGAAAGATACTGATCCATACCATTCACATGACTATATTTGGATTGATAATATCTCGTTGCACGTGGTTGTCAGTATTCACAAACATGTTGATTATTATTTAGTAGCAGCTTCACGATAACATTAAAGAAAAGGTTAAAGGTTATACTGTGCAAAATAAATAATGAACTCTTCATTTGCATTTAAACTAAATCATTTAATATAATTAACTATAATAATAACTTGGAATTTGCTACTTACATAATTATCTAATTCTTGTTTCTCTAAAAGTAATTAACTTTAAATCTCTATTTTATTTATCTTTAAATGATGAAAAAAAACTCAAAAGGAATTAGCTTTGTGTTAAAAGTTTGAAAATTGTTAGTTGGTACTTGTAAACAGTGTTCAGGAATTAGAGGGGTCTCAGAATTAGGTGGGGGATTCCTGAATTGAGTGGGTACTTTAGTATTAAACAATCTTCAAAGAATGTGATGCAAGCCATCGGGATTTAATCATAAATGCTTGCATCATAATTTTTTCATGTTATTTTTTATCTTTCAAGAATATGAAAATTGATCAAACTTAATGTAAATTGGAATGCAATTAATTAAAAATGTTTAAATCATAATCACACAATTATATTATAAAAACATTTGTACTGCTCTACTCACTGACGCTTCCTCTCATCACTGAACTGAATATCTACAGAATATCCTTTAGCACCCAGGGGAGATAATTTCCTCTGTTTTTTGTACATTTAAAGAAAACAGGATGAATTTTGAAAGGGAAGTTATCCAGCCTGGATTGATCTTTAACGATAATTCAGATTTGGCATTCATGGTATATAGCAAGCATTCCACTTTTAGCAACATCTGAAAGTTGCCAAAATAATCTCATGCCTCTTGCCTACCTGTGGTATCATAGGTAACTACTGTGTGTGCATATATAGCTACAGGTTATCTAATTACAGCACCTAAAGGAATTAAGGTATTATCTATAAATAGATGTCTCCACTTCAAATACTTTCTGTTGTTGATAGCTCTTTAATGCCTTCAAATCTTACGATTAATCTGTTTTTATAAAGTTTGTTATTGTTTGAATAATTTGAATGTGCTGAACTGTGTGTAAGTGAATGATTTGAGTAGATGTGTTGTTATTGATATTTTTTGAAATTATATTTATTTATTATCAATAATTTCATCATTTTTTGAAATTATACTTAGTCTATTTAATATCAATAATTTCATCTTGTTAATATCAATAATCTCATCATATTAAATTAGTATTAGTATTTAGATACGCTATTCATAGAAAACTATATCATAGCGTTTACAGAGTTGAATAATGATTTGAAGCAATAAGCTCAAGTTAATTTTGAAAAAAGGTATGTTTTAAATTAACATATTGCTGAAAATAAATTACTAACATTTACTAATTAATATGACTTGTTTATCCTTTATTAACATAATCCCTACTGGCAAATGAATGAAGGACTTGTGTGGGAAACAGAAAAAAAGTGATATAAAATCCTGACATTGTGGTGAATTAATGTCAAACAGACATGAAAATGTTAAGATCTATGATGAGTAATAAAAAGAACAACTACTTAAGCTCCGTTAACAAGATGTGTGTCCTGGGCCCCCGGTAACGTTGTCCCGGCTCACCCCTGCACTTCCCAGTCTGCAACAAATACAAGCATCTTTTTAGAGAGCTAGGTTTTGAAGGAAATGCAATAACTTAAGATGAGTCATATACAATCATCTCAGAAATCCCTTAGCATTTCTTCATAAATATATACACTCTTTATTTGAAAAAAAAAAAAAAAAAAAAACTTATAGGAAATATGGATACAAGTCTACAGTGTGATTCATTGGATCGAGTACGATGTCCCACTTACTGATGTCTATCTTGCAGCGAAAATCTAATTTCTGTCAACGATAACAACGTTGGCGGCAGAGGTGAAAAAGCTTGCTCGTCATTGCGGTTGATTCAATTACGCGAGAGGAACCCAGACTTGAAATATTAATTGAACTTCAGAAATATCTAACTTACTTTGTTTCAATTGCATTCTTTATTCCTCTTCCACTTAAGCTTAAATATTTAATAAATGCAACAGAGACTTTGTTAAAGTCCACAGATGTTAGTATATCATTAAAGTTACAATTTGAACCTTGTTTTTTAAATGTTTGTTTTATGTTGATAAAATTATTTTTAAAATGTCAAGTATACTTATCATACACTTATACCCTATTCAGACTAGCATCGCATTGCGATCGGTTGTAGCAATTGTGATACCCAATCGCAAAGTAAAATCGTGTGTGAAAGCTCACCAATAGTAGTCGATATGTAATCGATATCGCAATTGTTACCCGTTGCGATTGGGTGCTACAATCTTTATTACTCCTGATTACCACAGAGTCCGATCGCAACGAATCACAACGAATTCCACAGGCATAGTTTGGCTGGCGTCAGTGTACATAGGCCTAGCCACCGGAGGCCTAGGCCCTAGAATGTAAAGTTTGTTTGTGTTGGTCTGAATGCGTTCGTTGATTGCGATCGGGAGTAATTAGTTTTGGATTACCACTGATTACATCGCAACCGATCGCAACAGAGTGTAGTCTGAATAGGGTATTAGAATTATGTAATGCTCCTTAAACTAAGTCACTTTATAAGACATAGGAAGTGGAGTTATGGAAAATCTTGGTGGATAACAGGATTTGCACCAGGATCTTGAAATTTAAAGTTAAGTTTCATCATAACCACCAAGCCACCGCTCCATAACTTATTGTGAATAAAAGAATATTTAAAGGCCAACTCAGACAGTGTCGTACCACGCACCCTGATGCGATTTATTGTTGTCTGGTGTCTTGTGAGTTTGCAGACAAGACAGGTCTGTGTTGGTGGCTGTTGCACTTTAGAATATTAAAATGCTGAATATTTTCCCAACAACCTGAAGACTCTCCCTGATGATAAATTGCGTCGGGCTGTGTCGTAATACGCCGTATAAGTAGGCCTTTGTATATTCATTTTCTACATTATTTTCCCTTTCCCAAATGTATCCCCTTCCATAATATATTCTTTCCACAATTTCTTCTTTTTTCGCAATTTCCTTCCCAAAATTCAAACCAAAAATGTCAGCTAGATGATTTGTGGTTGAAAAAATTAATGAAAAACATTTGCAGTTAGGATAGAAACACAATAGAATTTGTAATTAGAATTCTACGCCGTATATTAAAATGTAGGTACTTGACCTTGTCTGGGTACATTTTAACTTGATTGGTTTGTGTTCACTACCTTTCAGTTTATTAACATTTTTTTAATAAAGGATATCTATTATTTTTTTTTAATCAAAGGTATTTGTAATATTTCAAAACAAAAAATTTAAAAATATAAGCATGTTTCAAGGATATTTATAATTAAAAATTCAAACTAAAAAAAAAAAAAAGAACCAAAAAAACAAAAAACAAAAAACCAACAGAAGTATAAAAATAAATGTGTATTGTTATGAAAGGAATTCAAGCAGGAGTTGACAAGTGTCTGTGGCTGAGCAGTGTCAGTGTGCTACCCTCATTTTTTTTCTATCTAAATTTCACTTTATGCCCACCCATTATTTAAAAAAAAAAAATGAGAATAGAAAAGTGAGAGGCGGTGACACTTGGCAGCCAACTTTTGAATTGAAGGTGGTGCCATTTGATGATGCGATTACATTTTAATTAAAACAAAATTCATTCATGAGTAACTAGATACCTTGAAACTTGGTAACATTATTTCGTTTAAAGGTCATTAAATTGCAAATGTAAATGTGTGGTTCTTGTTTAAATTTGGGTTAGGCCGCTGGGAATTACAGCTTTAGTGGAGTCCCTAATCTGGCCAGTACACTGGGAAATAATCACCTACTCTTTGTGAATAGTGTATTTAGTTCTTTTCCATGCACAATTGCCAGTGGTAGATCCAGAGGGCCCAGTGAAGGACTTTCACAGATGGGAGTCTATACCACCTCAGCCCCACCATGGTTGGTCAGAAAATTTATGATTATGGCACCTGAAGATGGCCAGAAATGCCACTCTCAGTATTAGATTTTAGTATAATTTACTTTTTTCCCCATTTTATTTTTCCATAATTTAAAAAATTTAGGGGGATAGGTCTTACTGCCCCCCCCCCCCGACCCTGATTCCACCACTGTGTGCTATTTTGCACATTGGACGAATTGCTTAACACCCCATCTAAAGGATGCGTTTAGTAAAATATCTTTAAAAAAATGCAAGCAATAACTGCATTGGCAGCTGTGGCATGTCTAAGAATATGAAAATAAGGACAGGGCTAATGTAGGATGCGGAGGTTAAGTGGGTGGCTTATTGATTAACTAAGTGAGGGGGTGTTAGCTGATTAGACAAGGTGATTTTTGAATGTATTGCTTTTTGCTAAGCTAAATTCAAGTGGGACAGAGCACCTGGGAATGTTTTTGTGTGGGATGCACATACAGGAGCAGATCCAGCCTGATAAGAAAGGGGGAAGGATGTGAGTATGTGAACTGAGTTAGAGTCTCAGGGAAGAACTCCTAGTAGAGGTGCAAGGAACAATTTTATAAATTTGAGCTTGTATTTGATTGAATTTTACTATTGAGCATGGTGATTTTCAGATAATCTTTATACAAAGGTTCTTTTTTACAAAAAAAAAAAAAAAAAATTAATAGGTGGGCGTACGCCCTTATACCCCCTCTGAATTCACCTGTGGGCCGGTGCCCTAGTAGATAATGCCACTGATTGACGGTTTCATACTCAAACTTGAATAAGATAAGATAATGATTACTGTGTTTTTATTATTCTCAGTGTCGTCACTAATGAAGCATAATGCAAATGATAGAGCCTCCTATGGATAGGCATATTCAACAGACTAACAATAGACTCCTATGTATCAAAGAGGTAAGTGTATATTATATTTAAGTACAGTAAAATGTAAAATATCATTGAGTTTATTTGACCGATTGCATCTAGAAACTCTCAGTGTTAGGTTTATGTGACATTTTAATAATTAAACTTTAGTTTGAAAAAACTATCTTGCCTTATTGATATTGTTAAAGCCCCATTCCCGGCAAAATTTCACTAAAAACTGAATTTTTTTTAGAAAATATTCATTTGCATTACTCCAATTATTACAAATCATAGCCTAGCAGCGCTGGATAGGCTAATGTTTTCGGCGCCTACGATATTTCTTCTCACGACCTATCGCAAAATCAAAATGAAAAATTCATCCGCATTTATTTTTTGTGTGGAACACAAAAAAATCAAATTTCAGTCTTATTTTACATTTTTTTCATTCTTAGGAATGTCTAAATTCAGTTAAAGTAGCAATTCCGTATTATATTTATAAATCTTTATAACATTATACAAAAATTAGATTTTTCTTAAAAACTGAAATTTTGCCGGGAATGGGGCTTTAAGTTTATTTTACAAATTGCTTTAGAAACTCCTTATCTCAAACTCTGTGTTAAGCTTATTTCACATAATAATATGTTTATGATCCTCTACTTGCATTACCAGTCAATTGCATTTTTAGTAATTTCATATAATTTTATGTATTACCACATTGATACTTCTAAGTCAACTTCCTCACATTTTTTTTATCCACAAGTAATGGACAGGCAAAATAAGCTTACATATAAGGAATTTAAATTCTAGTAATTTATCAAATCTGTGTGTGATCAGAGTGAACGTAAAAGAAACTAAAAATTTCTACAGATAAACTTGTTATTTTGTTGAGAGTGTTTGGTTTTCATTCGAAACAGATGTTTTACACAAAGCTGACAAGCTATGATGTTGTTCAGACGGGATTCTTGAATCATAAAAGATAAAACGCTGTAGGTGACTTGGACGGGAGCGAACCCACAACTTCCTGACTGCTGGCCAACAGGTCAAATTGGATCCCTGCCCAATTTCATCTGTACTTTATTCTCCTCCGACAGAAGACCATCTTTGTTCAAGTTTACTGGGTACTTTATGCCAATGCCCTTTTGACCCAACATGAATGTGACTTTCTTCAAACGATAATACAGTTTTAACATTGATTTTTTTTCCCCCCATGATTTGTACTATTCAGTTTTGATTTTGATTTTTAAAAATGTATTATTGACAGTGATATCTAGGAAAAAATTCAATAAGTTTAAAAGTGAAATATACATTCCAAGGTTCAAAAGTTTGGATCAGTTTTACATTAAAAAAAAATCATTAGCCGGATATATGTCACTACGTATAGAGCTACTTTTGGTGTGTTTTTAACCACCTTTAAACTTACGAATACAGATGGCCTAAGGACGTTTTTCACATACGTGAATGTGTACATGATTTTGTACTAGTCTTCAAGTGACCTATATTTTGTCTGACTTCTATATTGTGGGTTTGTGTCACGCAATGCGGGAACCGGGCCGGCTTTTCCTTAAAAATGAACATGAAAGAGTTAGGTCGCCTTCCATGACTTAATCACATCACTTGTAGCTTATCAACGAGTAATAAGAAAGGGTAAATGCCTGTGGCTTTATATAGATTTAGGACTACGTGTGACTTTTAAAATGGTAACAAAATTTTTGCCAAAGAGAAGTAGCGTTTCTCTGTCCACAAGAGCTACAAGACCTGAGCTAGACTTGGATGCAGTGCATCATAAAATTGTACAATAATTTATACCAAAAGAACATTAAATTCTTTTCCTCTGGTAGTTGCCATTAAGTGGTATTTTAGTTTGTATGGATTTATGAATGTAATTATTTTGTTTTTTTTCAGCAACTTTCTGACAAAACATCATTCCAGTCAGCAGCTGTTGAGCTGTTGGAATGGTGTGAAGACCCACGAGCCTTTCAATCTCCGTTTGAGGGAGCTCTCATCTCATGTTTAACAGTATGTATCAAATAATTGTTAAATCCTTCGCATTTGTTTTGCAGCTAATTTTATGATGTTTCCCAGGAGATGTGTCCTGGTGGAGAGCATGCCCAGAGTGATCCCCTTCCCCGGATCATCTCATGAAAGCTTTTACCCAGGGTGAGGATCATCAAGGCTTGCTTTAGAGCAGGCTTCCTTGAATAGCTTCCTCCACCATAGGTTTTTTTCAAGGAAGGGTAAATCCTAGGGGAAAATAACATGTATGAGAGGCTAGCTATGGGAACATCAACCCCAGGGAAAGGTGATCTCTGGAATCCTTGCATTTGGGTTTCTCTCTGTGTTTATTGTGTTGGTTATCCTTCTGGTTACTGAGAATTTATCTGCCAATCTGTTTTTATTATATGTTTATAAAAGTTGTCAGAAACAAATATCTGCTGGTTTCAAAGGAATTTATTATTTTATTTATATGTTATGGTATCATATTTTTATTTATTGATCATATTAGACAATAACTGTGGACTTCATAACTTATAAAGTCCTTCCCTTATACTTAAATTCCATATTAAAGTATTTATTATGATATGAGAGTGAGATGAAGTATGTGTTAATATTGTAATGCTAATGCTACCACTAAGATCTATATATAGCATCATAGTAGTTTGGATTCTAAGTCTTTATTTTTACATGCAGGTTGTTAGCCAAGTCGCTGCAAAGAACGGTTATGATCTAGATATTGGGTACCGACTGCTTGCTGTGTGTGCGTCTCACAGAGACAAGTTCTCGCCCAAGTCAGCTGGTAAGTCCAAAGTTCATGATCAAATTTCTTTTTACACCTGAATCTGAGAAAATAATGAAAATACTCTTAAATCTTGGAAATGCAAGTCAGATAGAATGGATAAAAAAGAAGTTGATGTTGGAAAGAATATTGAATGAAACCATCAGTGCTTGTGAGGCATTATTTAAAGTGAGGATACTCTTTGTAAACTGCAAATTTTGTAGTCAATAGCGTCTCTACTTAGAGTGTATCATCATTATAGATTGGAAACAAAATAAATGTTAATAATTTAAACTCAAAATACAAGCAAGACAATCAAAAAGTACATTATATATTTAATACTTATATTTTCACCTTTTGTATTGTTGTCCTACTCAATAAGTATTAAGTGTTTGTAGCAAGTCTTTAGCAATTCTCCATCCCAAGTACAGTAAGTGCCAACAGGTATCTTGGGTGGATGCTTATTGAAAAAGAGTGCTAATTTGAGTGGTAGTAAAGGGAAAATATTTATGTTGGTGGACAGAAGGAGTTTTTGATTGTAGATTGCTAATTGGTAAAACTATAGTTGCATTTTGTTGATCTTATCTAGGTGAACAACTTTGGTCTATTCTCATTCCATTTTCTGTGTACAATATTTCAACCTTCTGAAAATCTAAACATATCTTCTTCATTATTTATATAACTTTGAGCTCCGGATAGTACTTCTTTTTCCTCTTCATTGATAATGAATTTCATACTTTCATGAAAGTAGCAATATTGAATATTTTTTGGTATTAAAAGCTCTAAGAGAAAAAATAAAATTTAAACTTGACATAGATTAAAGAAGGACATGGATTTTCTGATTTTCATAATTCAAAATCATGTGTTAATTTCTTGTGGCATTACCTATGATTTTGGTAGAAATGAATGTGAAGTAATTTATACAAAAGTGTAGATTGTTGTGCTATGAATCACAGTTATGTTATACTGCCCTCTATCATTAACACAGTTTGCAAACATTACAGATTATACTTTCTGTATATGAGCAAAAAGACTTAAGTTGGAATAGCTTTATATTTGAGTAAGTTATTTGTTTTCTAATTGAATGAGAAAAAATTTTTCAGACTAATTAACAGGTGGCGAAATAATATACTTTTCATAGTATTTGAGATGGTAATGAATTTAAGGATTTTTGTAGTTAAAGCTTTGTAAATCAGCAAAAAAATGCATTGTTTTGATATATCTCTTTGATTATGATAAATTATTATTATTTGATCCATCCAGTATGTCTTCAAAATGCTTTGATTTACTAACTTATCCACCGATACATGGTACTCTCCAGCTAAAATGAATTGCAAAATAGAAAAGCGAGACATGTGGTTAAATATTTAATTTCATGATTTGAGCATTATAAGGAATTATATATACCGACTGCAGTGTATACTTACAAGCTCTTTGTATATCAAATAGTTTTGTGTTGCCAGATTGTTTCATGTTTCCATTTTTATTGGATAATTCTGAAATATTACAACTTTTAGAGATATAATATAAGTAGGTAGTTGGAGTATGTGATAGGATTATGTTATGGACTCATGCGACACAGCCATGTGATAAGCTGTGTAATCAGTGATAAAGCAAGCTATGCGCCATATTAGTTTATTTAATAGCCCAAATGGATTCATTTTTATCCTTGGTACTTAAAATCATAGTCAGTTTGTTGTGACTGATAGTGTTTTAACTGACCACATAAAAAATTTACTTTTAGAAGCATTTTAATAAAAGATGGGAACACAAATGTCCATGACATTTAAATGTGTAACAGGCAGTGTTTGGTAATTATATAAGATGTACCAAATAAAAAACCACTTAAGACAGTAAAATAGATGTGGGAAAAGAACATTTAAATACTGTTTTGCCAGATTATAGAATGACATTTCATCAGGTGTTATGGCACCATACATTTTCCCCTCGCATCAAAATCTTCTAATGACATGATTCTATAATTTCAGTCAGTTGTATAGAGTACCTAAGCTGGTGGTAGCCAATTTGTGCACTGAACCATCCAGATCTCTTGGTCATCATTGCCATTCTTATGTTTTGCTGGAGGGCTGAAATGCAAGTTTAAGTAACGCTTAACGTTTAAATGAGATGTTTGACATTTAAGTCATTGGTCCCATGTTCAGTATAGCCCAGGTGCATGTTAAAGAATGCAGTATACTCTTCGGAAAAGAGTAGGGGATGGATTGTCTCCCAGCGTAACAATGAGCATCAGAAGGACCCCACTGGAAATAGGTCTTTTTTGGACTTTTGTGGGTTATCCTTGGTGTTTACATCGAATAAATCTAATTAAATCGATATGTTTCTATGATCCTTTTATGTGCTTCGATGTTTAGTATCGTTGGCACTATTAAAAAAACCGATTCCTTATAAATTGAAGAATACTCATTAATTTCTCCATATAGTAAAATACCATAAAACCTCAAATTGAAGCCCAGTCGGCTAAATCTCAAGATGAAGCCCATCTCGAATTGAAACCCCCTCTTTAGTTTGCAAAATTAGCCTCGAAGATAGCATTGGCATTCTTTTTGTGTGTATGTGTGTATAGTACATAGGCCTACCCTGTGCATGAATTTCAGAAAACAAAATAAATTGAAAACAAGCTTGGTTTATACATTAGTTTAGGTGATTTAATGCCAGTTAAATACACTCCATAATACAGATTGATGTTACATTGACCTTATTTATTGTTTATTTGTATAAATTCACAATATTTACAGCATTCTTCTGAAAAGAAGCCTCCCTCTTTTTTCATTCATTCATTCATAAAGGTATTTTATTCAAAAATAATTGTAATTGCAGTATTAAAGACTGAATTGTAACAATTTTACAGATTCTCAAAAAGAGACATAAAAGGCAAAAGAGGCACTTAAAATTTTAAAAATATTTTAAAAATCTATACACAACAACAAATACATAAACTGATGAGACATGCAAAATGGTGTATAAAACAGAAATTAGCTACATTATTAATTACGATACATTACCTAAAATTAATTAAAAAGGAAATAAAATTTTTAAAAATATTTTTAGGCCTTTCTCTCATTCCAAAGTCTGGTCATATATTGCAATGGGCTATTAAAATATCTTTTGGTCTTATGACTGCGGAGAGACAATTGATTGGCATTTCTAAATTTCCTACCATGGCACTCAAATCTGGTTTTAGGGATCAAATTTTTAAAATTAACCATTAGTGAGTTGTAAAAGTCTAGGCAAATTTTCTCTCTGCGTTCTTTAAGTGTGGCTAATCCACACAGAGTGCGTGCGTTATCATAGTTATGATAACAGTGTCCTAACATAATTTACAGGCTCAATTCTGGATTCTTTCCAGATTCTTGGTTTCATTATCAGTGAGTTGTGAGTGCCAGGCCGGTGCAGCATATTCTGTGAGGGGTCTTATAAAGCCATTAAACAAATAGTCAAGGGGGGGGGGGGTCGTCAACTTGATTTTTAGAGAAGCAAATTTTCATGGTGGCACATTTACTTGGGTTGAGGTTCATGTTGTTTTCCTTACTCCATTTACCAAAGGTATCTAAATCTTCTTGTATACGACTAGGTTGATTGTGCAACTTACTTTCAACAAGTGTGATGTCATATTTAAAGATATGGATGGAATCACTTAGTGTTTTCATTAATCATTACTAAGAAGCAGAGAGGTCCTAGTTTAGTACCTTGTGGGATGCCACCATTGGTGATTTCCCAATCACTACTAGTACCCTGATATTTGACACATTGTGTTCTGTCTCGTAAGAAGCATGAAATCCATGAGATAACTGAGGGGCGGACATGCATGTCAATAGTTTGTTTATAAATACACTGTGATCAATATGATCGAAGGCTTTGCTGAAATCTATAACCACTAGAGTGCTAGAATTACCTACTTTATCAGAGTTCCTATAAAGTTCATCTAGTAACTTAACTAAATAATGATGACTACTAAAACTACGTTTTTACTTTGCAAAAGTAGTCTCGAAAAGAAGCCCATCTCGAAAAGTAGTCAATCTTGAAAAGAAGCCCATCTGAAGTTCGCAAGAAAAAGAAGCCCAGGGCTTCAATTCGAGGATTTACGGTATATACATTAATTAGTAGATAATGTTAAAAGTGTTTGTGAAAAAGCTAACCCCACTGTAAAGAAGCTTTTTATTCTGGGGTATTTTACAACATTTACAATATTACAACAAAATAACAAAGATTTTCTTTGGTTTGAATTTTTGTTGTCATTTTTTATTCTCCTTTGTTTAATTTGTATAATTTATATATGCATGAGTAATATAGTACAGACCTTGGTTTTACATGATTGATAATAAAATTACTGATTTTATCAGCTTGAAATAATCAGGTCTATTTATAGATTCTAGTAACTAGACTGAACTGAAGACTTGAGGATTCCCCTCTGTCAACACTCCATGTCCTATAATAATCCTAGTTAGGCTCAGACTTAGTGCTACATGTTATACACGCAAGAAATTTCATCCTATACATTGTAAAAATGGAAAAATCCTTAATTTTCTATCCATGTGATTGGCTTTCATGCTGAGACATACTAGTTGTTAGGATTATAGTTTATGCATGATTACGATGTGTATACACACAGTGATCCCCTCTTTAAGTATGATTGATATCTGAGATATATTTCACATTGTCTGTAGTAAAAAAGTGTATTGAGGATAATAATAAGCAAAGGTTGCCAAGTCTACTGCCCCCTCTGCACCTAATTACATTACGTAAAAAACTGGTCGTGAAACTTACTTCCGTATGAATGCCCTTGGCTAGTTTGATAATGATCGTTGGGAATTAAGGGTCAGTTTTGAGTAAGGAATGTTTCGTATATTAGAAAACTAATAAATCACTTCAATTATTGAATTTTAATGTTAATGTTTATTATTGGAAAACAGGCAGTTTATCTTTAATTTTTATCATGCCATATTTTTGTTTTCCTTTTCATTTGTTCTAGTTCCAACTAAATTCAACAATGTTGGTTTTTACATACCATGAATACTTTGTTGCAAATATGTGAACTTTGGGTTGAAGGATTTACTGTTATTTTACACCCTCATTAGAATATAATAAAGTTCAAAATTTGTTTATGCCATTAGCTGGCTTAGTTGTTCATTTTCCTATAGCTTGGTGCATTTTGATGTATAACACGTATGACAGTTATACAGTACATCTGAAAGTAGGTTGCAGTTCTGGATTAAGCCCCTTTTGTTATGAGGTATATAAGGATGTAAAGTTGAAATTTTAACTTTTTCACACAAAATGTAATCCTTTGGGGCAGTTTGTTTTTTCCTCATGATGAATAAAAAATTAGTTTTGAAAGGATATGGAGATAATATTGAGCAGAAATTCAAAACCATTTGGTTGTGCTATAGGTAAGGTTCCTAGGAAGTCAAATGTGTGCGTTTTCACACAAAAAAACATGGTCTATTCCCAATAGTGTCCTAAAGGGGACATCCGGTCATATGTAGTCCCTCATGCATTTACCCTCACCTTTTTTATATGCATACTGTTGAAGGCACAAGGTCAAACGCAAAGCAGGTCATGATTTCTGCAAGCTTATTGGATGTGGTTTTTGAGCGAGGCAGTGTTGGTTGATGCTTGCTACTCCAGAACCAATCCAGAAGTAATCAGGTAAATTAACAAGTAGGAATTCGGAAATTTCAAACAGGTGTGCTGAAGGCGAGGACAGCTATTAAAACAGGCCTGTTGAACAGGGTATTGAAAATGTTGTATACCATGTAATATGAATGTAATACTTAGTTATTAAACATACATACTTGTGGACAGTATTAATAAGCCTGTTGAACAGTGTCTTGAGAATGTTGTATACCATGTAGCATGAATTTAATACTCAATTACGTATTAGACATAGGCCTACATTACGTGAGGGAAGCTATTAACAGGCCTATTGAACAGGGTATTGAGAATTTTGTATACCATGTAAACATAAATGTAATACTCAATATTAAACCTGCATACTCTACACCAGTGTAGTTCAGGCAAGACTTTATTTTCTAAAGATCTCTAAAGAGACTAGATTTTCTTTTTAGCAAAATTGTTCTACCAGAAAGCATTGGGATGAAAATATACAGTTAATCCTGTCAATGAATAAAAACTAAGATGAAAAGTAATTCAGTAATGATGCTGACAACAGGTCATCTATTAACTAGATATCAAAGATCTTATAATTACTAGATAGCGCTCTCCATGATTCTACATGTAACAAATAGAAGTGCCAATGTTCAGTAAATAGAAACAAAAAGTAAAAACTATTGAGAGAGGACGTCCTAGTTGTCATTACGGTTGTTGTAGAATTTGCACGCAGATGTGCTATCTTTAGTTAACTATCCCTGATGTCAAAATTGAAAAGTAATCACTTTTGCAGTGTAGGAGGGCGCCCTACACTGCGTTATCACAGAATTTGCACACAGAAATCGCGAAGAACTCTACCTTATAATTATAATATCTTTGCAAGATATACAAACAAAAAAACACTTTTTCTAACCTCGTATTTCAGAGTTCATTGAGCAAGCTTGTTATAAGTCATGCACAATTTTTCAGGTTAAACAAAAAAAAATAAATAAAACAGTTATACATATGGAATATAAGATTCGATACCCAACAGACAATTCATATAAGTTGTTAATTATTTACATGATTTTTATCGATAACTTTCAATTTCACATACAGTTTTGATTCATGTATTAAGTCACATTAAGCATGAAGTAGGAGCTAAAGAGCATAAGTAATAAAACAGTGCTAGTAATACATTCCTGTAGGTACAACTGAGTACTTGTTTAAATATACTGGTGGGGGTTTAAAAAGCAGGCAACTGGCCACCCTACCAAGCAATTATGAGGCTTAGTATGATGGGCTACTAACAGCTCATTCTACTACGTTCAGTGAATTTGAGAGTACCTTTACATTTATTGTCTATAAGACATGTGAAGGAAATTTATTGGATGCTGTCAATCTGTTGGAAATATAACTTTCAATATTGGATATGCACTTTTCTGTTATGCTTTGTTAAACTTATTAGTGATAAATATTCTGCTTGCCAATTTGTAACTTAAGATATAAGGTGTAGATTTAGACACATGATTATCTATTTCTGGATATTTTTTATGGATCCTTTATCTGTAATCAATAAAAGACAAGACAATCCATGTTTATTGTATTTGATATGTCAAATATATATTTTATGTACATCGATAATGACTTTTTTTTTTACATAAGCTTTCTTCAGGGGAATTTATAGTGAAATTAAGTAGTATATAAAGAATGGTTTCTCTAAACATGTCATTGACAAGGGTAGAAGTTCACAAAAACACATGAACACATAAACCAACAGGTGAAACATTGTTATAACACTATGTCATATCATAACTACTATATATCATACATTAATATAGCATAGAAATGTATGTCCTTTATAATCAATGCATATATGTGTAAATCAATGCATACTGACGTCGTGGATAGGAAACTTGGAATTGAATGAGTTTTGATTAAGATTGGAACCCAGTACTTCTAGAGTTACCAATCTGGTATCATACAGCTTCATTTCATTTCATCAACACAGCAGCAACGGTGCATAGCTGAATTATGTAGCATTTACAGTACGGTTTTTGAATATTACAATATAACACACTAGGATAAATTTACAAACAAGGCTTAAACAATGATAATGCTTACAAAATTTTTGACAAACAATTAAAACACTAATAAAATGACATGCCTAAAAGATAATTTATTATACATAGAATAAGGGCGCTTGAAGCGCCCTCATGGTTTGTCACTGAAGCAGATGTTATACTAAAATACATAAATTCATGAATCATCTAGAATCTGTAATAAATCAACGAATTCAAAATTCGAACCTATTACCTCCAGATTTACCGACGTTGGCTATTAGACAGTTGATTACAATAGTTTTATTTTATACAAATTGCAGCAGGTGCTATAAAGTATTTACAGTACATAAATTTTTAAGGGATATATCAATGATTCGAACCCACTACCATTAGATCTACAAGCTTGGTGCATAATGAATATTGAAGAATATTGATTGATATTGATAAGAATTTTATTTGATTTCAAATAGAAGTAGATAATGCATACTGAAATACACATTAACTAATTATAGATAATTTTAATTATATGAAAAAAAAAATACTATCACAATGATAATGATATTTACATGCAAAACTGTCTAATTGATTAACAAAATGGTTCATTAATTAGGACGTATACAATTATGTTATTATCTACGTAATGTAATTTTATCATTCTATTAAGTTGCCAATATACTCAAAAGAATGTATTGTATGTGTTGGTATGATAGATTCTATTGATCTTAACTCTCAATGTTCATTTTCAATGAAAATATCAATGAATTATATTTCCCTATATCATCTTACCCATCAGTTCTCCATTCATGATTGCTAATCTATAATCTCCCATTGTTCAGATTAAGTGGCAGTATAGAGGGCGGTAGACTACATGTTGAACAGGAATCCACTTTGTTAAAATTTAATGACAAGAGTACTGTAAACTATTTATACTTTTGGTGTGGCCCTGGTCTTTAGATCAATTACCTACAACTTCACACTTTAGATTTACCTGGGAAAATAAATTGATGCTTTCTGCAAGCTTCGTAGGCCTGCAAAAAGCATAGTATTTTAGTCTTGTGTTACCACTATGGAGCTAAGTAGGGTTTCATCACATACAGAGGAAATGGCTATCCAACTACATATATAAACTAAGAAGCACAAGTTTCATGGTTTATCACAAAAATAATTATATTGAATGATTAATAGGAAGGTAAACTGACATTTTACAACATGGTAGAATGACTCACATGTTACCTGTATGCGTGAATCATGAGTTTGTACTTAATAACGTATGTTATAGACTCTTAAATGAATTGCGACTCTTTGAATGTACAGTATTTGTACAGTAGCTGTTTCTCTAAAATAAACTGTGTGGCATGGATTGTTATTGTATTATTATCTTTCAATTAAAAATTATAATGAGAAAAATATTTCTTGTAAATTAATAGATACATAGTAATATATTTTCTGGGAATAAATAAAACTGTTATTATATTATTATAAATAATATCTTTCTTTTGCATTTGGCAATTAATCAATTTAAGGACTTTTGTGATAAAATGTCAGTAACTAAGTGAAAACTTTTTTTATCTTTACTAATGGAAGGTAACTTATTAATCCTTCTAATATTTAGTTGCAGTCAGTGGTATAAATATAATAGTAGGCCCATTTTTTTTAAATTTTTTCTTTTTTGACTTTGTGGAAATACTGAGTTAAGCACTGGTTAGTAGGAATGATAAATATGTTTAGGCATGGTCTAGGTTAGTATGAATCAAAGGCAGAAGAGTTCTTCAAAGTCATGGTGGCCAATTTTGCTTAGTTTAAAGAGTACGGTTAAATTTTAGGGCTAGATAATGGATTATTTTCCTATTTTTTTTTTGTAACTTAATTATTCTTTTCATTTCTTAAGTTCATCCACCAATATTAGCTTTATTAAGTCACAATTGTTATTTATATTTTTCCTTATATCATCTACAGTTATTCATTCCTTATACCTGTATATAATACATGTTTCATATTTAACATACGTGATTAAAGAAATTATTTATTTACAACAGTAGTAGTTAATTTTCTTTTATACTAATGCTACTGCTGGTTATCAAAGCTGTTTAATATTTAAGTCAATCCATTTAGTGTGCATATTTGTGTGCAAAACCTAGCAAGCAAAAAAGCTTATTGAATGTGTATTATATTAGAAATAAAGAGAATCATTAGGGAACATATGATACCCGATAACCATGACAACAAGTTGAATGACAACATCAACTACGGACGTGAATTAGTGTTATAATGAACAATTTAATAAATAACCTGAAATGAGTTGATGCTTACATTTCGTCTCATTGTTAGCAAGCGTCTTTGTTTCTTTGTTTGATCTGAAAATTATCTTAGAGATGGTAAGTAATGTAGCGTTGAACGTGGTATTTTCATTAGTGAGGCCGTGTATCTAGCCACTGGTAATAAGCGCCTCTTTATAGTTGTATATGTTAATATCTGAACTGCAAACTAGATGAACTGACAACTTTTAAAAGTAATTGAATGTTAGTTTTTTTTTTCTTTTTCAGCATAAATGTTCTTTTGTCTTGCATGTGTTTTAAATATGAATAAGATAAATAAAAAATTTAGTATTTCAAATTGTGTACTGTTTTTCACTAGAGCAGGAAAAAAACCCTAATAAGTTTAAACAGATAACAAACAACATAAAAAAAAAATAAATTCTAAAAAAAAGTAAATGTAAAAGTTATGAATCAATATTATTGTTGTAATAAGAATATTGTTAATATGATAATTCCATGAAAAAGTAAAATTAATTGATTGATGATTAATAAATGATTGATATTTTGATTGATTGATCGATCAACCAATCAATCGATTGTTTACTTGGTTATTTGGTTTATTAATTGAATGAATGAATTAAGGAATGCATGTATGAATGATTGGTTGATTTCATTTGTATGTTTAATAATAAAATTGTTTCACAATGGTCATAAAAAAAATTGATTGATTGATTGATTGATAGATTGATTGATTGATTACTTGGTTATTTGGTTTATTAATTGAATGAATGATTAAATGAATGCATATGTGAATGTATGATTGATTGACTGATTTCATTTCAATAAAATTGTATTTCACAGTGGTCATAAAATATTGATTGATAAATTGATTGATTGATTGATTTATGTATTGATGATTGATTGGTTGATTAATTGATTGATTGATTAAAGGAATAAACGAATACATGCATTGCATGCTTGATTGATTTCATTTATATGATTGAGGAAAATTTTATATTGTAATGATCATAGTAGATTAATTGATTTATGAATTGATTGTTTGATGAATTGATTGATTGATTGGTTGAATGATCATTTGATTATTGATTGCAATTGGAAGCCAGCCTTCATAAATGGGTGGGTACCTGATAGGATGTTATGGAATTGAATTTATTAGTCTGTATATTAACTTGCAGTATGACTAGGTATGCCCCCAGGGAGTGGAGAAGTTTACACTTTTAGTCCTTTTGCCAATTTATGGATCCAGGAATAACAATATCACTGCCTTGTATTCGTGGGCAGAAGGCATTGTAGAAATTCCTACATTAATATTATTTTTATTGTTCACATGGATAAATCAAAATATGATTATTTATAAAAGAGTTATTTGGTGAACATTCACAGACACTGAAATAAAGCTGGTACAATATTTTGTCTAATATATCAAGGCATAATTCATTTCAATTGATTCAAATTAAATCTGTCTAGGGCCTACTACATAAATGAATATTACTATTACAATAAACTCTGTTTTGATACAGGGTTCTTATAGCCTACAATGAATAGCATATATAGTAGAGTCGTGTGCTAGTAGAATAAAGGCTGTCATGCTATTAACGATAATTGCTCTACTACTTCAAAATGATTGACTGCATAAGATTTTCGAATCTTTTACATCACTGTGAAATATTGATTTTATATTACATTATATAAGAATTTTATAACTGATTCCTTAATACGTACAATAGTTCAACTTTTTACATTGATGTATAAGTTACAATACTGATAGATATTTTATTATAACCATCTTTTGTCATATAAAATTCTGGAAGAATATACCTTCAGTTAAGAATCATATAAACATCATAGGCCACATTGGGTGCTGATTATTTAAAAGTAATTCTATCTCTTAGTGTATCAAATAACTTTTATTTCGGATGTACAGTACATAACCAAAAATATATATGAAGAACAATTTAAACTGTGTAAACACAGAAAATGCCATCTTAAAAACATTTATGAATTCTATGTTATATATTCCTGGTAGATATGATTTTACTATCTTTTATCAATATATATTTCTAAAAGATAGTATACCTATCTTTTAAAATGTTATATTATTTCAAGTAATTTAATTTAAAAGAAATTAATTCTATTATTTGTCTGTAATAGATATTTTAAAGTATAGTAACAAAATTTTGTCATTTTTCATAGAATTCTGCAAAAATGTATGATAAAAATTAATTAAGTAAGTTAAAGAAGA